TAGGTTCCCTCTTTTGATCTGTTTCTAATTATTGGAGATACTGTGTTAATGTGTTAATTTTGGTTCTTTCTTCTTTTTGGTTGTGTGCATTTATTGGAATAAATAGTCCTCTCAGCACTGCTTACGCCATGACCCAAAGGTTTTGGTATGTTGTGTTGTCATTCTCATTTGTTCCTAGTAACTTTGTGAGCTCATGTTTTATTTCTTCTACTACCCAATCACTTTTCAGGAGGGTGTTATTCAGTTTTCATGTATTTGACTTTACTTCCTTGGTCTTCCTATTGGTGATTTCTAATTTAATAGCACTGTGGTCTGAGAAGATGCTCTGTAGTATTTTGAGATTTGTAAATTTATGGAGGTTTGCTTTGTAGCCTAACACATGGTCTATTCTGGAGAATATTCCATGTGCACTGGAAAAGAATGTATATTGTGCTGTTGTTGGGTTGAATGCTCTGTACACATCTATGAGGTCCAGTTGTTTAGTTTCCCTGTGTCTTTGTCAAGTGTCTTTCATTCAATTTTTCCACAAACTTTTTGAGGTTTTCTTATATATGAGGAGAGTCTCCAATAAGAAAGGCAGAGACTAAAGCAAGCAAACTCAATATTTTTATGTAAATAATGTACAAACATCCAATTTTCAAACCAAGCAATTCCTGCATGTGCTCCATACTGATGACTTCTAATTCAACTTTTTTTCCTGTCCAACAGCTTTAACGTTAAACCTTCACCTTGGTGCCTGTTGGCATGGAGGTTTGGTTCCCAGAAGCAGATCCTCACCAGCCTATCCTCAAGTTTCTACAGCAGCCCCTCTCCTTCTTTGTTCTGCAAACTGCTTTCCCCAATGCAAAAGAAATAGCTTTTTTCCATCCCAGAAACAGCCCTCACCAGGGTAGCAGGTCCTAGCCCAGGAGGTATATGGGTCTATGTACCCTGAGCTGGAGTACACAGGTGTACCACAGCCGTATCATGCATTCAATTCCACCATGCACCATGCTTAGTCTGTTTGAATTTCTTGCCTGCATGGACGCTGAAGAGCAGGTATGAGAGACATGGGTACAGAGAGGTCACACATCCTTTGCTCAGACTAGTTGGTCTAACTAGCCACCCAGAGGGCTCCACAGAACCAGGGCAATGTGTGCCCATACCTGCACCATCCTACTGCTTGTCTTCATGTGGGCTAGCACTGCATTATAGGACCAGCCTCTGCTCTGGCTGTGGTAGCTCCATGTCAGCTTTGAGCCTAGTCCTCTGCCAGTCTCCAGAGTGACAGTCCTGAACACACAGATAGGCTACAAGGAACTTCACTACTCTTAGGCCTGGCCCCAGAGCAATTACCAACGTACTAGCAAATTCAATCCATGACATCCTAGCCATGGTTATATCTTTATCATACAAATATGATCAAACGCAACATTTTCAGACTTCTGAATAAGAGTGAATGAAATGGAAACTCATGCCTGGAAATGTCATGAGACAGGCTCAGCATATGCACACTACGGGCACACTGTGCCAAAACTTCCCAGCATAATTTCATCATTTCTGTGCATTATATATATGTGTGTGAGCATTAGCTATGTAAATATGCTGTTTTAAAAAAATATGGTAAATCTTAAAACTAAAAAAAGTACAAAGAAACTGAGACACCAGAAAAAAGAAAACTTCAAAAAAACTATATTCCTCAGAATGGAACCCTATATAGAGAGGAGTGATCAGAAAAGAAGAAAAATGAATTTTTAAAGCAAAAATGTGACCATAGGAAAAAAAATTCAAAAAAATGAATGACAAAGAAAAGCCTTAACCAAAATCACAGAAAATTTACCCAACAAATAAGTCTTGAGCCCTATAAAATTACATTATTCTATCAGTTTGGAATATATAAATAAAAGAGACAATGATTTCTGTGCCTAAGAAGTTGAAAGATATTTCTTAAAATTAACATACATGATTATAAGAAAAGCACATACTAGATTAGAAAGCGCAAATCATACAAAATCCTTTCACACTGAATAAGACATTTGCTGGGTAACTTTTCCCCTTCAAATCTGGGAAATATAGCTATTCAACTTTTTTCTCTAAGATATATATCTATTAAACCAAACATCTAATTAAAATAGTGATTTTATTCACTCTTTTGCTTCTCAATATTTTAAATCAACTTCTTAATCATATTATCATATAAGCATGGAAGGCTATGCAAAAGTTTTATGACTGACCACACCACAATCCATGGGGAATGGTAAAAGATCAATTTTGGTACTGTTGTTAAGTGCCCTGTATAGGGTTTCCAAGGAGCAACTGGTGGTGAACTGTCCACCTTGAGGTTCAAACTGACCTTTTGGTCCAGTGCATTATCCTGTGGCACCACACAAAGACTCCAAAAATATCAATGATCTACAGTAAAGTGAGATATTACAATCATGTATGTAGGTCAGATGAAATATGTGCAAATGATAAGCATTTAAAACTGGAATGGTGCAAGTATAAACACGAAGGCATATTAATTTATACATAACCTTTTCTGAATTAAATGTCTATTATCTTACCTTCAGAAGCTTTATAACTAGATATTTTACTAAATTTTAAGATTCTGTTAGTGCTGTGATCATTGTTTTCCTTGAATTCATCTAGACACTAAATGCAAAAGAAGTGAAATGGTATCCTAATGCATGTTACAGTTTTCTATTACTGACAATATTATGAAAACATTAAAATAAATTGGGATTTATTCATATCTATCTTTTAATCAGAACAATACTGGTAAGGATAAGAAGGGATGCTAACAGATAAAAAGAATGTATAAACCACTTTGACTATTTTCCAATTGTACAAGTAACATAAAACCTACACAAATTACTGTATTCTTTTGGGGACTTCAAGTTCCTGAAAACTAAAAGAACTGCACTAGAAGATTTTAAAAGTCAATTCTTAAGTTACATAAACATCTACAGACTGTGGTTGTCTCCAGAGGCAGGAATCTGGTGGGTTGTAGAGTCTAGATGTGGGAAGAGGAGAACTGCCTTTCCACTGCACACCTATTGATTTTTTGTTTACGTGGCAAACACTACCTACTCAAAAATCAAAATAATAATTTTTTTTTAAGTCCCTTCTACTTAAAAAAAAAAAAACAACTGTAATAATCTTAAAAACATATGGAGCAGGGCTCTGAGATACAGGGACTGAGTCATGATTGGAATGGGGGGATATCATGTTAGGATGCTGGAATGT